GGGAGGCCAAGGCAGGCAGACCACCTGAGGTCGGGAGTTCAAGACCAGCCTGGCTAACATGATGAAACCCCATCTCTACTAAAAATACAAAAATTAGCCAAGCATGGTGGCAGGCTCCTGTAATCCCAGCTACTCTGGAGGCTGAGGCAGGAGAATCACTTGAACCTGGGAGGTGGAGGTTTCGGTGAGCCAAGATCGCATTACTGCACTCCAGCCTGGGTGACAAGAGTGAAACTCTGTTTCAAAAAAAAGAGCAGCCTTAAGTAGCTACCACAGAGATTTTGTGGTCGTCCAAACCTAAAACATTTCCTATCTGATATTTTACAGAAAACGTTTGCTGACCTCTAAATCAACGGGATGTCTAAAGATCATTAAAAAATACCTGAAGATTTCAACCTATGAAGATATAATCTTAAGAAAATGAAAAAGGGGCCTGGGCAGTGTGGCTTACGCCTGTAATCCCAGCACTTTGGGAGGCCAACACAGGCAGATCACGAAGTCAAGAGATCAATACCATCCTAGCCAACATGGCAAAAACTCGTCTCTACTAAAAATACCAAAAAAATTAGCTGGGCCATGGTGGCGCACGCCTGTAATCCCAGCTATTCGGGAGGCTGAGGTAGAAGAATCACTTGAACCTGGAAGGCGGAGGTTGCAGTGAGCCGAGATTGCACCACTGCACTCCAGCCTGGCGACAGAGTGACTCCATCTCAAAAAGAAAAAGAAAAAAAAAAAAAAAAAAACACACCATGAAAAAGGGTATAGACTGAGGTCTACTCCAAGAAGTCTATAAACATTTTTAAAAGTTGGAGAATAGGCTAGGTGGGTAGCTTACACCTGTAATCCCAGCACTTTAGGAGACTGAGGTGGGTGGATCAGAAGGTCAAGAGATTGAGACCATCCTGGCCAACATGGTGAAACCCTGTCTCTATTAAAAATACAAAAAAGCTGGGCATGAGCCGGGCGCGGTGGCTCAAGCCTGTAATCCCAGCACTTTGGGAGGCTGAGGCGGGTGGATCACGAGGTCGAGAGATCGAGACCATCCTGGTCAACATGGTGAAACCCCGTCTCTACTAAAAATACAGAAAACTAGCTGGGCGTGGTGGTGCGTGCCTGTAATCCCAGCTACTTAGGAGGCTGAGGCAGGAGAATTGCCTGAGCCCAGGAGGCGGAGGTTGCGGTGAGCCGAGATCGCGCCATTGCACTCCAGCCTGGGTAACAAAGCGAAACTCCGTCTTGGAAAAAAAAAAAAAAAAAAAAAAAAAAGCTGGGCATGGTGGCTCACACCTGCAATCCTAGCACTTTGAGAGGCTGAGGTGGGTGGATCACCTGAGGTCAGGAGTTCAAGACCAGCCTGGCCATCATGGTGAAATCCCATCTTTAAAAAAAAAAAAAATAGCTGGGCATGGTAGTTCTCACCTGCAGTCCCAGCTACTCGGGAGACTGAGGCAGGAGAATTGCTTGAACCTGGGAGGCGGAGGTTGCAGTGAGCCAAGAGCACACCATTGCACTACAGCCTGGCACCTGGAGACAGAGCAAGACTCTGTCTCAAAAAACAAAAAAAAAGTTGGAGATAATGTTAAGAAAAATCATCCAAAAACTGGAAATCCAAGAGTGTAGTGTGTCCTTTCAATGTCACACTGGGTCATTGTTTCAGAAGCCCACCCAAGGATTATTTACCCACAGGAATATACAGTTGTTTGACTTTGCTACTTACTAGTAAGGTAAACAGACTCTGAAATTACGAGGAGATATAGTCCAGGAGAGATGAAAAACATGTATATCCAGTAGAAAAGTTACCTCAAAGGGTATAATTTTTGTCATGTAGGACATCCAGTGCATTTTGCATCTAACCTACTAATCGTGTGCTAAACATTCCTCTTTATTTTATTTATTTATTTGTTTCCAGACTTGCTCAGTCACCCAGGCTGAAGTACAATGACACGATCTCAGTTCACTACAACCTCTGCCTCCCAGGTTCAAGCGATTCTCCTGCCTCAGCCTCCCAAGTAGCTGGGATTACAGGAGCCCACCACCATGTCTGGCTAGTTTTTTCTATTTTTAGTAGAGATGGGGTTTCACTATGTTGGCCAGGCTGGTCTTGAACTCCTGACCTCAGGTGATCCACCCACCTTGGCCTCCCAAAGTGCTGGCATTACAGGCGTGAGCCACCGTGCCCGGCCTAACATTCCTCTTTAAATACCTGTCCTGTCCGGCTCCTCATCTGCATCACCACCTTATCAAATGGGAATCCTCTCACCAAAGATCTTTTTTTTTTTTGAGACAAGGTCTCACTATGCCTCCATGCTGGACTGTAATGGTACAAGCAGGGCTGGAATTCCTAGGATCAAGTGATCTTCCCACCTCAGCCTCCCAAGTAGCTGGGACTACAGGCACAGGCCACCACACCCAGCAAATCTCATTTTAAAAATTTTTTTAGTAGAGAGAGGCCTGGCATGGTGGCTCATGCCTGTAATCCCAGCACTTTGGGAGGCCAAGGCGGGCAAATCATGAGGTCAATAGATAGAGACCATACTGGCCAGTATGGTGCAACCCCGTCTCTACTAAAAAATACAAAAATTAGCCAGACATGGTGGTGTGCACCTGTAGTCCCAGCTCCTCAGGAGGCTGAGGCAAGGAAATTGGGGAGGCAGGGGTTGCAGTGAGCGAAGCTCGGGCCATTGCACTCCAGCCTGGCGACAGAGTGAGACACCGTTTCAAAAAAAAAAAAAATTTAATAGAGAGGTCTCACTATGTTGCCCAGGCTGGTCTCAAACTTCTGAGCTCAAGTGATCCTCTCACCTCAGCCTCCCAAAGTGCTGGGATTATGGGCATGAGCCACTGCGCCTGGCCCAATAAATTTAGTTATGTGTTCATTCTATATTTAGACATAATTTTAAACTTTTTGAAAGTACACTTTGACAAATCATATGGTATTTTAAAAAATGCATTAAACTTATGCATATATATGTGTGGGTGGGAGACCCTGCAAGTGCCAAGGCGAGGGTCTGAAGCCTCAGCCTGTTCCCATATAAATACTGAACTAGAAAAGATTTATAGTTACAGTTATTCCTATAATCATAATCACATATTCATATGTAATCACAGACATACATATACTCAATATAACCTTTTAATTTTACTAATGATTCTCAGGTCATGAAGTGTGGAAATGAAGTGCCATTGGGAAGGAAGTGACCCGAAGGTAAGATGTTTTAAGTCTTCTGTCACACCCTCATAAGAGCTGCTGGAGCGCCAGCACTGGGAAAGCGCCCGCTGTTTAGCCAGTTAGGGAAGATGTCCAAGATGTCCAAGACATCTCCTTCCTCAGGGGATGTGAGGAGAAAATTCCGCTACTCCAAGCACTTGCAGTAGGCCTGATGGCTGTCAGGGAAACCCACAGACATCCAGGGGCTTGTCTCTCTGTGATGCTGCGCTTCAGCAGTCATGTTCCACGTCTTTCTTTTTCTTTTCTTTTTTTTTTTTTTTTTTTGAGACAGAGTTTCGCTCTTGTTACCCAGGCTGGAGTGCAATGGCGCGATCTCAGCTCACCGCAACCTCCACCTCCTGGGTTCAGGCAATTCTCCTGCCTCAGCCTCCTGAGTAGCTGGGATTACAGGCACGCACCATCATGCCCAGCTAATTTTTTGTATTTTTAGTAGAGACAGGGGTTTTACCATGTTGACCAGGATGGTCTCGATCTCTTGACCTCGTGATCCACCCGCCTTGGCCTCCCCAAGTGCTGGGATTACAGGCTTGAGCCACCGCACCCGGCCCATGTCTACTTTCATGTTCTGCTTCTGCACCTGGTTCCTCTTTTTCTTAGAAGATAACAATCAGTAATAGTAACATAAATCTTAATGTCCATGTTATTTCCTGACAAGTATGGAAAAACTGCTGACACATTAAGTTTTTTTCCTTGCCTCGGCTACTCAAAAGTCCTGGGCCCCTATCTCCAAGACATGTGATTTACTTGGCCCTATCACTGACCACCAATGCCCGGCCCTACCTACCCTGCTCCCTGCTTTGTACTCACTCAGTAAAAGTCAGAGTACCCAAGCACTCGAGGCCACTGCCGGCTTCCGTGGTTTGGCTGGCAGTGGACCCCTGGGCCCAAACTCTTTTTTTCTCTTTCTTGGTGTCGTGTCTTTTATTTCCACAGTTTCTCGTTTCCACACCAGTAGAGAGGGGCTCACAGGACCCAGTAGGGCTGGACCCTACATATATGTACATCTAGATTTATGAAGTCACCATTACCATTACACCTAGAAGGGACTTAAAAGATGCCAACTCACCAAACTGGTGAAGGGTTACCTCATTGGTGAGGATGCAGCAGAAAGACTGTTACATTTTCCTCTGTATGCTTGTGTATTATGCAAGTATTTTACAAGAACATATTCAGATATATATATAAACACTTTTTTTTTTTTTTTTACGACAGTTTCACTCGTTACCCAGGCTGGGGTACAATGGCGAGATCTTGGCTCACCACAACCTCCGCCTCCCAGGTTCAAGCGATTCTCCTGCCTCAGCCTCCCGAATAGGTGAGATTACAGACATGTGCCACCATGCCAGGCTAATTTTATATTTTTAGTAGAGATGTTGGTCAGGCAAGTCTTGAACTCCTAACCTCAGGTGATCCACCAACCTCGGAATCCCAAAGTGTTGGGATTACAGGCGTGAGTCATCACGCCCAGCCGCCCCTCAACTTTTCTGAGCCCCCGTTCTTCATCTGTAAACTGCTCGCACTACCTCCATGGTGGGAAAATTGAGATGTGCACAAAAGTGTCTAGCGTGAGGACAGGACAACTAGGGTGGCTGCCCCTTCGCCATCGCCACAAGCCCCCACTGGTCTCACAGTTCAAAGCACCCCCTACTGCCCGTGAAGCAGTCCTGCATTGGCTGAAATCAGCCTGTGTTCTAGAATCTTGTCTCCTCCGTCCTTCTGGTTCTAGAATTCCACTGCTACTCCCGGCCAGGCACGCTAGAATCAAAGGCACTGCTGCTTTTCCTGGACAGGGCCCGCTTGCCCCAGCTCTCAAGTCTGACTTGTGTGTACACTGCGGCCAAGATGAGGCTGCGGGACCGCATCATCACATTCTTCTTCCCAAAAGGCATGGTGCTCACCACGGCTGCACTGATGCTCTTCCTCCTACACCTGGGCGTCTTCAGCAGCGACATGCACAACTTCTGCATCACCTACCACTATGACCTCATGAGCTTCCACTACACGCTGGTCCTGATGGTAAGTTCAGGGCAGGGACTCAAGGGCTGGCTGCGGGAGGCCCAAGGGCCTGATGGAAACCCCACTGTTGTGTCAGGGGGCCACTCTCCCACTGGATGGGCCTACAGTTCTCCCAGGTGATCAGCATCTGCTGGGCCGCCACGGGGTCACTCTACGCTGAGATGACAAAAAACAAGTACACCTGCTGCTGTGCCATGACCATCCTGGGTGAGTGGCAAGAGTAGGAGGGTGCAGGGGGAGCAGGGAGCTTTGGAACCCTGAGATGTGGCAGGGAAGGGTACTGGGGCTGATGGGAGCTCTGTCCTCCACCCAGTCCTCAATGGAGCAATGTTCTTCAGCCGCCTGTCCTTGGAGTTTCTGGCCATTCAGTACCGGGAGGAGAACCACTGAGGACTGGGGAGTTGGAACAGGGCTGAGGAGGGGAAGGAAAAGGCTGCCTCGGGTGTTTTAATAAAGTTGCTGTTTATTGCCACCTGCCAACTCCTTCATGGGGTGAGGGGTGGGAGGCTGGAGACCCAGGGGAAAGCAAGTCAAGACAAATGCTCGACTCACGGGGACTCCAGGCCCAGCCCGCAGCCACTCTGGTGGACTCAGCTTTGGGCCTGGGGTCTTAGTGTCTTAGGCTTGAGGGAGAGGAGCAGTGAAGAGGTGCCCCCAGCCTCCCCGCCACCCTGCCTCTCCTCCACAGGAACCAAGTCCTAGGCTGGCCTAGCCACAAGCAAGGGGGCTCAGGAGGGGCCCACGCGGATGTGAGGGTTCATGAGCGGGTCCAGGTTGGGATCGCTGTCAGCTGCGGCCCGGCCTAGGCGAGACATGAGGGCAAGGAGGGCCAGGAAGCCCAACAGCCCCAAGAGCAGCAGCAGCCCCGCCCGCTGGAGCAGGGTCAGCGGCCGCTTCCGAGACCCGGCCCGGCTCCTGGGGGGATGAGGGGAAAATCAGGTCAGGCCCCAGCCCCCGACAACCCCCACGGCATGGAGAGAAGCCCTGCTCACCACCCATTCCTGAGCCTTCGCCTCCTCGTCTGTGCCTCAGGGATGATCACTCCTGTACCTGCCACCATAGGGTGCTATTGTGCAGCTCAGACCAGCAGAGGCACAGGGCTGTGTTCCGCAAACCAGAACGTGTCAGGCGTCGGGCGGAGTTACAAAGATTAGGGGGTGTCAGATCAGGAAGGGGCCTCAAAGAGCCTGAGTCCAAACCTCCTGTGTGGGAGGCACAGAGACAGCCCCAGAGGGAAACCAACCACAGCTTTTGCTGCGCAGCCAAGGCCTCTCTGCACAGCACCGGGTACTGTTCCTTTCCAGAACAAGCCCCTTTGTCATGAAACTGTCCCTCCCAAGGCCTCTGGCTCCTACTCCCTCTCTGCCCCTTTCTGGCACTCTGCCCTGCCTGACCCTCTGTACCTTAGCAGCTGGGCCAGCCAACCCAAGGCAGGCCGGCGTCGGTACTTGTCATCGTCACAGTCTCCGTGGAGGCCTGGTGTCCGGTCATCATCCCGTGTGTCATACACCTTCCTTGGGGCTATAGGGTAGAGCCACTAGCATCAATAGATTCAGGAAAACTGGCCACTTTGGGGAGGGCTGGGTGGGGGGTCACCTGCCTTCCTCAGGCTGACAGAGCATCTCAGAATTGTGAGGAGGTAATGGCAGTGCCTGGATTGAGGAAAGGTTCCTCCAGGTGGGTCTCTGGATCCTCAAGCTCCCCCCACACAAACCACTACCCTCTTTTTTATCCTTCTGTGGCCTGGATAACTCCCAGGCTCACCATGAGTCGAGGGCTCAGGATTGCCCATGTGGATCACTGTGTGCTGCTCGGGCCGGCCTGGGGAAGCCGGGGGACGGGGGGCCTGGCTGTAGAAGGCTGGGGCAGCAGAGGCGCTGTCTACCTCCTCTGGTCCAGGGGTACTGCTGGCTGTGGGTGGGAAGAGAGCTGTCAGCAGAAGCGGGTAGAGCTGAGGGGTAGAGCATTTGACTGCAGACCAAGAGAGCTGTCAGCAGAGCAGGGAGGCTAAAGCTCAAACAGCTGGTGGAAGCCACCACTTACCATTAAAGCTGGACCAGTCAGAGAAGTTGGAGGTGTTGAGGGGCTCAGGCTCTGGGCTCACCACCTCATCAATCTGGAGGAAGGAATCCGGGTCACCAGGCTGCCTAGTACTGTCCCCACCCACCCATCTAGCTCAGGTGGGGCCCAGGGCAGACGGATGGTCAGAGGGACTCTCACCAGAGGGAGGCCCAGTCCTGCCCGGGCCCAGTTGACTGTGGCCAGCTTCTCTCTCAGTGTGGAGGCCACGGGGCCAGCCAGGTTGCTTGGGGGGAAGATGGGGCCATTGCAGCTGGGGCACTGGTAGCCGGCAGGTGCTGTGTTTCGGGGTAGCTGGGCAGCACGTTCATTGAGGCAGGCCCAGTGAAAGAGATCTTAGGGCCCATGAGACAGGGGAGAGGAGAAATGAGGAAGAGGGCGCTTAGGGCTCCGAGCCCAGCATCAGCCCCCAGACCACTGTAGGGACATATGGACACGTAGATGTGTACCAGAGCCTTCTCCTCCCCTCCCCCTCCCCTAAAGGTCCATTTCATCAGTGTTCCCTAAAACGTCAGTCTTCTTGGCTACCACCATCTAAGTCCAGGCAGCTGCTACCAAGCTGCCCAGTTCACAGGGGTGAGGTTGGGTGGCAAGAAAATGCCACCTCCTGTTGAAGTGAGTCCTCTCTGGGCCTGCACTCATACTCTTTGGGCTAATGGCTAATAATGAACAGTTTCAAACAAGTATAGCCCTCACACATACACAGCTATACACTCACAGGTTTGCTCACACTCAGGCACCCTCAACCATGCATTCTCTTGCACTCCCACAACATACCTGTATTCGTATGTTCACATACGTACATTTACCCATTCACTCACCCCCAAGTACTAATCAACACACTAACGCTCAATTTAAACACACCACGTTCACGAAATGCCTGCAAGCACACACACGCATTCACAAGGAGAAACACATATGGAGCTGTCTCTTGCATGTGCTCCTTCAAAAACGAGCTGCCAGGCACAGTGGCTCCTGACTATAATCCCAGCACTTTGGGAGGCTGAGGCGGGTGGGTCACCTGAGGTTGGGAATTCGAGACCATCGTGACCAACAAGGAGAAACCCCGTCTCTATTAAAAACACAAAATTAGCAGGGCTTGGTGACGTATGCCTATAATCCTAGCTACTCAAGAGGCTGAGGCAAGAGAATCACTTGAACCTGGGAGGCAGAGGTTGCAGCGAGCCCAGATCAGGCCATTGCACTCCAGCCTGGATAACAAGAGTGAAACTCTGTCTCAAACAAAAACTAGAGCTAAGGCTCTTACCCCAGATTCAGGTCAAAGTCACGACACATATGTCTGCTGACTTAGCTAACTTTAATGTGAGAAACTCACTTCCTCTCTGTTTAGCCCTGGAATCAGTGTTGGATCCTAAATATCTGAAACCTTGAAAGCTACATGCTGGTCTGGCTAGCTAATAGTCACAGCTACCACCATACCCATGAGCTTGACTGGCTCTTGCTCAACCCTCCAGATTGGCAGTGTTTTAATTTTTAGGAAAGAGGAACTAGGAGCTTTACTTTTTAGGAAAGGCAGTGAGGCCTAGAAAGGAAGAATAATTTGCCTGAACTTACAGAGCAGGTAAGGAACTTTAACAGGACTAGAATCTGGGCTCTCAGACTTGGGGGAATCACTGTCCTGCTGCTTGAGAAGGGCCTGGATACCAGTCACCAAGCTGGCCCCTGAGGCTGGCCTGATCCCCCCAAGGTGCCAAAGCCTCACCATAGCAGACAAGGCGGGTCGTCTCCCGGCTGGCCAGGGGTATGTTGCACAGGCGGCAATTGGGGTTGTAGTCGCTATCTTGGAGCCACTGCAGGTAGGACTGGACGATGCACTGGAGTGGGAGAGAGATGTCACAACTGGTGCTGGTGCTGCTGAGCCTATCACCCCAAGGTCCAACAGCCTCTTTTTCTCTAGTCACAGAGGAGACTCATCCTTTCATTTGTTCAATCAATAAACATTTATTGAGCACAAACTGTGTGCCAGACTCTCTATTGGGGCCAGGGGATTTATCAGTGAACAAAATAAACCAAGTCCTTGCCCTCGTGGGGCTTACATTCTAGTGCGGGACCCCTCATGGATCTGGAGGAAGCCAATACCGCCTGCCCACCCAGTGCCCTGCTCAACCGCTCCCCTGAAGGTCCCACCTTGGCGTGATTGGCTACCAGGCAGTGTTCGCAGACGTTGACCCGATGTTCGAAGCAGAATAGGTTGGTCACCTTTCTCTTGGGGCACTTACAAAGCCCCATGGTCGATCCTGGGAAAGGGAGTTGGTAGGAAGCCAGGTTCTGGTGGCCGCCACTACGCTCTTACCAGCCCAGTTTCCACTTAACTCCCCAACACCTCTCATATTCGCCCCGACCCGATTCCTGCTCACTGCCCTTCCTTAGGCGGCGAAACATTCTCAGCATAAATCCCGCCTCCGGCGACCCCTCAATCCTTCTGGTTTCCGCCCCCGGCCAGGTCCCTCCATCAGCGACTCCCCTATACCACCGGCCCCGCCCCCAAGGCCCCTCCTGAGCCCCACCCCCAAGCCCCGCCCCTTCTCTACAGACCCCAGTCTCTGTGTTTACTGATCGGCCGCTGCACCAGTTCCGAAGGGCGCTAGCGATGGTTCGAGAAGCGGTAGGGCAGGGACCACGCACCCCGAGGCCCCTGCTCCGCTCCCTTCAGTCTCAGCCGCCCCGATTACCCCTCCGCTGCCACGTCTCTTCCGGGTGCGGCGCGCGCTGATGACGCCACCGCGCCCCTGGGCCACGCCTCCGTGACGCTAGACGTGAAGACGGGTGGAAAAGACGGGGTTGGGATCCGAGCGCTGCGGATCTCTCGCTACGTCACTTCCGCTTCCTTCCTCGCAAGGCGGGTAATTCGAAAGCTTCTTGCAGCGAGTGGCCCTCCCGGTTGGCTCGCGCCTGGGGCGGTGGCGCTGGAGGAGCTCGATACGGAGCCTAGTTATGTCTGGGAGGCGAACGCGGTCCGGAGGGGCCGCTCAGCGCTCCGGTGAGCGGAGGGCGCGCGGGAGACATGAGGTCGAGCCGTTTGGCGGACGCGGTCCTGTGAAAGATGGCCCTTCCCTCCCGCCGCTGCCGCCGCCGGAGGAGGCGCCCTTAAAAGGGCTTGTTTGGGAATCTTCTCGCTTTCTCTAGAATCTGTTCTCTGGACTCTTAAGACCTAGAGTCCTCCTTTACCTCGTAACTTTTTTCTCTTTCCAGGGCCAAGGGCCCCATCTCCTACTAAGTCTGTGCGGAGGTCCCAACGGAAATCAGGTTCTGATCTCCCGAGCATCCCCCCTGAAATGTGGCCGAAGGTGAGCCCCAGGTTTCTCAGTTCCTCCCCTCGTGGCCCATCACCTAACGTAGAGCTCATCTTCATCCTTCTTCCCCAGACACCCAGTGCGGCTGCAATCAGAAAGCCCATCGTCTTGAAGAAGATCGTGGCCCATGCTGTGGAGGTAAAAGCTAAGATGGGATGTTTCGGGTTGGTAGTTGGGCAAAACCAGCTATGTGATCAATTGGTATTGTCACCCGCAGGTCCCAGCTGTTCACTCGCCTCGCAGGAGCCCTAGGGTGAGTTCACTTTCATCCACTTAGTTAAGTAAAATCAGGGTCACTCTAGAGCTGGACAGTACACATTGGCTGCTCACATCTGCCCAGGGAGCTGTTTTGCAGTACTGCAATAAGTTAGCCTTTGGGCACCTGCATGCATTGCTAGTCTTGATTACTCCCTGAAGACTTAATACACTTAACTTTTTATGCCTTGTGTATTTCTACCATTTTTCTGGAACTTCTTTTAAAAGCTGAGCTGTGTCTTAACTCCAAGTACTGTCTTTCTAATCCATTTTGTCATCAGTTTTCATTTATGGGTGGTCTAAGATAAGTCATGTGCATGATATTTTTACAGCTTTAGCATAAGTTATTATTAAAGGATGTTTCATTAATAGAAAATCTGGGCCAGGTGCAGTGGCTCACACCTGTAATCTCAACACTTTGGGAGGCCAAGGCAGGTGTATCACTTGAGGTCAGGAGTTCCAGACCAGCCTGGCCAACATGGTGTAACCTCGTTTCTATTAAAAATACAAATACTAGCTGGGCGTGGTGGTAGGCAGGTGTAATGTAGCTCTTCAGGAGGCTGAGGCAGGAGAATCACTTGAATCCAGGAGGCGGAGGTTGCAGTGAATCATAATTGTGCCATTACAGTCCAGCCTGGGTGACAAGAACAAGACTCTGTCTTCAAAAAAAAAAAAAAAAAAAAAGCCATGCACAGTAGCTTATGCCTGTAATCCCAGCACCACTTTGGGAGGCCGAGGCAGGTGGATCATGAGGTCAGGAATTGGGAGACCAGCCTGGCCAACATGGTGAAACCCTGCCTCTACTAAAAATACAAAAATTGGCCAGGCATGGTGGCGCATGCCTGTAGTCTCAGCTACTCAGGAGGCTGAGGCAGAAGAATTACTTGAACCCAGGAGGCGGAGTTTGCGGTGAGCCAAGATCGTGCCCCTGCACTCCAGCCTGGGTGACAAAGTGAGACTCCTTTTAAAAAAAAAAAAATAGAAAAAAGACAGGGGTGTTCCAGGCCAAGGAAGCCACGTTTGCAGAGACTGGAAATTTAAAGAAAAATCACAAGGTTTGGGGAATAGCAATTTGTTTAGTGTCTGCAGCAGACCTCAGCAGGGGTGGGAGCTGAGCACCCTACAGCAGAGCAGATCCTGATGACGCACAAAAGCCACACTCAGGGATTGGGCTTCATTCTTGGATCTGTGGGCAGCCTTTGGAGAGTTCTGGGTAAGGTATAGACTGAGTCAAGTTTGAGTGTTTTAAGAAAGATCCCTCTGGGAGTTGTGGGGAGATTGGTTTGGAGGAGGGCTACCCTGGGGCTCCAAGACCAGTGGAATAACGTGAAGTTCAGAAATCCTGAAATGTTAAGGTAAGGGAGTGAGCTAAAGGCAGGATGACACACAGTACTGGGTTCAGAGGGAACCGCCCCCCAGAGCCTTCCCTGCCTACCCTTTCTCTATTGCTGTCACATTTCTCTGTGTAATTCTCTTAGGCCTTATCAGTTCTAAAGACAGGGTCTTGCTCTGCCACCCAGGCTGGAGCACAGTGGCAAGATTTTGGCCCACTGCAGATCTTCCCTCCTCAGCCTCTGAAGTAGCTGGGACTACAGTCATACACCACCATGCCTGGCTAATTTTTTGATGTTTTCTCTTTTTTTTTTTTTTTTGAGATGGAGTTTCGCCCTTGTTACCCAGGCTGGAGTGTAATGGTGCAATCTCGGCTCACCGCAACCTCCGCCTCCTGGGCTCAGGCAATTCTCCTGCCTCAGCCTCCTGAGTAGCTGGGATTACAGGCATGTGCCACCATGCCCAGCTAATTTTTTGCACTTTTAGTAGAGACGGGGTTTCACCAGGTTGACCAGGATGGTCTCAATCTCTCGACCTCGTGATCCACCTGCCTTGGCCTCCCAAAGTGCTGGGATTACAGGCTTGAGCCACCGCGCCCGGCGCGATGTTTTCTCTAATTTTTTTTTGTAGAGATGAGGGTTTACTATGTTGCCCAAGCTGGTCTTGAACTTCTGGGCTCAGGTGATCCTCCCACCTTGGCCTCCTAAAGTGTTGGTTATACAGACATGAGCCACTGTGCCTGCCCTTATCGGTCCTTATAGTGTATTTTCTTGCATGTTTGATGTCTTTCTCTTCCCTCTAAGAACAGAGGCACCTGAAGGGTAGGGACTCTGCTCTTCCCCTAGTAGCCACTCGTTCTTGTTGGTTGATTTGAGATTCACGGGACATTGAGCAGGGTAAAGCTGCCAGGACCTGAGTGACTGCTTGGCTATAGAGGATGAGGAAGTAGTAGTTAGTGGTGACTACCAATTTGTTCAACTTCCCTGGTTTGTGTGTGTGTGTGTGTGTGTGTGTGTTTGTGGCAGGGGTGGGGGTTCTGAGGTGGAGTCCTACTCTGACACCTAGGCTGGAGTGCAATGGCACAATCTTGGCTCACTGCAGCCTCTGCCTCATGGATTCAAGCAATTCTCATGATTCGGCCTCCCACGTAGCTGGGACTACAGGCACATGGCACTACGCCCAGCTAATTTTTGTATTTTCAGTAGAGACAAGGTTTCACCGTGTTGGCCAGACTGGTCTCAAACTCCTGACCTCAGGCGATCCACCCACCTCAGCCTCCCAACGTGCTGGGATTACAGGCCTGAGCCACCACGTCTGGCCACCCATTACCTCTTGAGCTTCCTCTTCAGTTTCTGTCCTCTTTCCTTCACTTCAGTCACGCTGGCCTCCTTGTTCTTTGACCCCGATTAGTATGCTGTAGCCTCAGGGTTTTTGCACCTTCTGTTCCACTGCCTAGAGCATTTGGCCCTGAGTCACTCCCACACCTCCTTCAAGCTGTAGCTTGAATATCACCTCCATGTGACCTATACTGACCTTTATCTCTTTACAATTCTAACTCACCCCAAGCACTCTCTCCTATGTTTTCCTGTAGTGCTTGATACTGCTAACATTATACTGAATTTTCTTACCTGTTTTTCCCTTAGAGTAGGGCAGGGGTTTTCTCTGTTTTATTCCCTGATGTATTCCTAGTACCTGGCACAGGACAGTAAGTACTTAGGGACTGAGTGGACGTTTTAGAACAATCCTCCTTATCTGTGTGGCAGATGGACCATAGCAGGAAAGGGCAAAAGCAGGGAGAGCAATCAGAAGGTTGCTGGGACCAGCCTGGGCAACATAACGAGACCCCCTTCTCTACAAAGAAACTGACCAAAAAATCAGCCCGACAGTGTGGCACATGCCTGTAGTCCCGGCTACTCAGAGGTTGTAGAAGGATTGCTTGAGCCCTGGAGGCTGAGGCTGCAGTAAGCCATGATCGTGCCACTGTACTCCAGCCTGGGCAACAGAGTTGAGACCCTGTATCCAAAAACAAAACAGAAAAGATTGCTGACCTGGTCTAGAAGACGCCTAATGAGGGTTTGAGTTGGTCAGAGGGGAGGCTGGATGCTGGGCACATTTTAGAAACACACCAGCCGGTGGGGGCAAGTCCACTTGGGTCACAAATGCAGACTCCGCAGAAGCAATGGTGGGATGTTTTCTTCTCCCCACATCTCTTTCAGGGTCTGATTTGTTTCTTCCTTAAAAAAGTATGTGTCGGCCGGGTGCGGTGGCTCAAGCCTGTAATCCCAGCACTTTGGGAGGCCGAGGCGGGCGGATCACGAGGTCAGAGATCGAGACCATCCTGGTCAACATGGTGAAACCCCGTCTCTACTAAAAAAAATACAAAAAATTAGCTGAGCATGGTGGCGAGTGCCTGTAATCCCAGCTACTCAGGAGGCTGAGGCAGGAGAATTGCCTGAACCCAGGAGGCGGAGGTTGCGGTGAGCCGAGATCGCGCCATTGCACTCCAGCCTGGGTAACGAGCGAAACTCCGTCTCAAAAAAAAAAAAAGTATGTGTCCTGTGGGTGTTTGTTTCCACCCTGAACTTCTCGGGCTTTTCTGGAAGTAAGCAGTGCAGCTAAGTACTGGGGGCATCTTCTCTTTTGTCCTGGTGCAGATTGCCTTTTTCTTGGAGAAGGAAAACAAGCCCCCTTGCAGGGAGCTGACCAAGGAGGACCTTTCCAAGATATACAGCGTCCCTGCCACTCCCAACACCTCTCCTGTGCTCAGCCCTGAGGCTGAGTCCAGTTCCAAGGAGAGAGAGCTGGACGCCAGAGACTTGGAAATGTTTAAGAAAGTCAGGCGTTCCTACAGCCGGCTGGAGACCCTGGGCTCTGCCTCCACCTCCACCCCAGGCCGCCGGTCCTGCTTTGGCTTCGATGGGCTGCCGGGGGCAGAAGATTTGTCCAGAGTCTCACCAGTGGTGTGCTCAAAATTCACTGAGGTCCCCAGGGTTGGTGCAAAGCCTTGGGCCCCAGACACAACTCTCCCTGGAATCTCTCCACCACCCGAGAAACAGAAACGGAAGAAGAAGAAGATACCAGAGATACTGGTGAGTGAGAGGCGGGGTTTTTCTCTGCTGTGTGCTCCGGGAAATGTGCAGGGCTGGGGCTCTGGCTCTTTTGGGGGATAAGCAGCACCTGCAGGATATGGGTGAGATGCTCCAGCCACCATATTCCCTTCTCACTCACCTGCTCCCCATTTTCTTCCTTCAGAAAACGGAGCTGGATGAGTGGGCTGCGGCCATGAATGCCGAGTTTGAAGCTGCTGAGCAGTTTGATCTCCTGGTTGAATGAGATGCAGTGGGGGTGCACCCGGCCAAATTCTCCCTCCTGTCCCTGTACATAGCACCCTCCCTGTGGAGAGGACACTTAGGGTCCCCTCCCCGGTCTTGTTACCTGTTTGTGTGCTGGTGCTGCGTGTGAGGCCTGTCCACCTTTGAGGGCTTGGGCAGCAGCGGCAGCCATCTTGGTTTCAGGAAATGGGGCTGCCTAGCCCAGCCACTCGCTAGTGTCCTGTCTCTTGTCATCCTGTCCTTCCTATCTCCCTAAAGTAGCATAGCCAGTTTCCAGGTGGGCTGCAGACTGGGGAGGAGAATCAATGGCCCAGCCAGAAGTTAAAGGACTGGGGGTTATGGTGAAGGGCACCTCTGCTCTTGTTGGGAAGGGTAGCTGCTTAGAAACAGGCCCAGGAGCTCTGCCAGCCTTCGCTTCTCCCTCCTGAGTTGCCTTCAGTTGGTGGCTTTCTTCCTGAGCCCAGCTATGTGAAGAGGTTTTGGATTCTGTGGGTTTCTTCTTCGATTTTGTAGATAGTCCCAGAGAGAAATCGTGGGCTGAGAGCAGTTCTGTCTTGGAGGAAGAAGCTGGACGTTCAGCCTGTAGAGTCTGGGTTTTGAAGGACATTGTGGGGGCCTTATCTGGGTCTCAGACCATAAGTGTTAACTACCAGAAGCTGTGTTTTCTAGTTCTGATCTGCTGTTGAGGTGTTTGGTAAATGTCAGGTTGATAGGACGCTGGCTGCCTGGAGCAGTGTGCATTCCGGCATATGGCCACCAGGTGCCGTGAGTTTCCGTGGCTCACAGCCTCTGGGCTGGTCCGCTGCACAGGGCCCAGGCTGGAGTCTTACCACTCTGCTGCAGGGGTGGAAGGTGGCCCCTCTTGTCACCCATACCCATTTCTTACAAAATAAGTTACACAGAGTCTACTTGGCCCTAGAAGAAAAAGTTGAAGAGTCCTATCCCTACTAGCATTGTGCGACTATGTTTGTAAAATCCTCAGAAGCTTTCCTAGCGCGCCAGACGGCAGCAGGGGTTTATAGCAGCTTGTTTTCGGCCTCCCTACCCTCTCACATGAGAACACTGCCTGGGATGCATCTCGTGATTTCTGGACAATTTCCCCACTTTCTCTTCTTTCAATACTGGTAGAAGGTGTGGTTTCGGAGGCTGCCCTGCCCCCCACTCTCCTGCTGCATTCCAGGACATTGGACCTTTTGATGTTTACAAGTTCATGGAAGTAGAAGCTGAGGTGTACAGAAGAGCTGGTGGATAACAGAGAATGCCAGGGAAGATGAGCGCCGGGTTAAGGTACTTGGATGAAATGGCATAGGCTAGGCGGGCCTCAATGAAACCCTCTGCCAGGCCTGGGAGTCCCAGACCATCTGTTCAATGCTCTGTGCTTTGTCAGACCTACAAGCAAGCCTAGGTGTCTTTGAGCTGAGCCGTACCAAAGAACTCTCGTCCTCACTGACTGATGGGGCAGAACTCTTGGGAAATGTCTTAGTCCTACAAAATTGGGCTCACCAGATGAGGTGGAGTTGAGATCATCATTGCAAACTTCTCTGTTCCTGAGGAACTGAGTTTAAGGGGGAAATGGGGTTTTGTTTTAGAGTTGGAAAAAACTCTGATTAAAGGGTTTCTGGCTGGGTATGGTGGCCCACACCTGTAATCCCAGCACTTTGGGAGGCTGAGGCCGGTGGATCACAAGGTCAGGAGTTCAAGACCAGCCCTGGCCAACATAGTGAAACCTTGTGTCTAAAAATACAGAAACAAATAGCAACTGGGGAGGCGGAAGGTGCAATGAGCTGAGATTGCACCACTGCACTCCAGCCTGGGTGACACAGCAAGACTTTGTCTAAAAATAAAATAAAAGTTTCTGCCTGTTCACGGACTATGTTTCTTTTAATGGGTCAAAGGCAGAGCCGAGGGTAAGGTCAGGCCTCCTTTGGGTGGCATCACCAGGGTTGTCCTTTTGTCCAGGAGCTCCCAGCCCCACTTCCCCCCATTGGCCCCATGGTAGATCACTGTCCTGCCCCGTGTCTTACTTCTGTCCAGTCCCCTATCTGCTCCTCTTCCAAGAGGAAGAAAGTTGGGTCTGGGGTGAGGGTTCTAAGAGCTCCTCCAGTGCCCAGGGGAGATGCCTGGGAAGGAAACACCCTCCCAAGTCCAGCCCTTATTCCCCCTTCCCTTTCAGGCTCCTTTGAAAGGAGCCTGAGTTGCTCACTTAGTGGTCCAGACTAGACATTGTGTAGCAGCAGGTGCTGCAGGACCCCTGGGGAGCTGGTCAGTGATGCTGATGCCTGAAAATTCTCCCACTTGGCCTTAGGTAAGGCTAGGCACCTATAGGCAGAGGGCATAGAGCAGTCTCCCTTCCATCCCATCCCCCACACTCGTACTTGCCTCCTAGTCATCCAAACAAATCAAGGCCATTAAGTTCTCCCCAGACTTAATCCACTTTGACCTCCTTCCCCTACCCAGAGGAGATGGGTCCCCTCTTCAAGGCTAGCCTTTCCACTTTGGCTTTTGATCCAATTATCTTGTCTCTCAAACTTTGTTCCTCTTTTTCTTCCAAGTCCTAAATGGCTTTTATTTGCTTTGTTAAAAATTGACAACCAGGCTGGGCACAGTGGCTCACACTGTAATCCTGGCACTTCGGTTCAGGCAGGAGGATCCTTGAGCTCAGGAGTTTGAGACCAGCCTGGGCAACATAGGGAGACCCTGGCAACATAGGGAGATGCCAGACTACAGACTGGTGCATGTCTGTAGTCCTAGCTACTCAGGAGACTGAGGTGGGAGGATCACAGCACAGGAGGTCAGGGCTGCAGTGAGCCATGATAATGCCATTACACTCCAGTCTGGGTGACAGAGTAAAGACCCTGTCTCAAAAGACAAAAAAGTCTTGACCAGCATCTGTTGTTAGCTACTACCATTACTCCCTCCTTTTAAGCTTGAAGGAACATTCAAGTTTAAAAGGGTCAAGGGACCAACTGTAGCTCCTTCCTGCACTCTATCCAGCCAGCCCCATCCTCAACATCCCCCACCCCACAGCCACTACAACTGCACTAACCTCCTGTGGGTCTCCTTCCCCTTAACTGCCTGTCTCCACACTGTCCACAATGCAGCTAGAACACATTCCCTAAGACACACTGGTCTTGTTTCTCCGCTCAATTTTTTATTTATTATTATTATTTCTTCTTTTTTTTTTTTTAATGAAGATGGGATTTCACCATGTTGGTCAGGCTGGTCTTGAACTCCCAACCTCAGATGATCCGCCCACCTTGGCCTCCAAAGTGTTTGAATTACAAGTGTGAGCCACCATCAATTTTTTATTTTTATTTTTGAGATGGAGTTTCAATCTTGTCACCCAGGCTGGAGAGCAGTGGCGAAATCTCAGCTCACTGCAACCTTTGCCTCCTGAGTTCAAGCGATTCTCCAGCCTCAGCCTCCCAAGTAGCTGGGATTACAGGCACCCGCCACCACACCTGGCTAATTTTTGTATTTTTAGTAGAGACAGAGCTTCGTCATGTTAGCCAGGCTGGTCTTGAACTGACCTCAGGTAATCCACCCACCTCAGCCTCCCAAAGTGCTGGGATTACAGGCCTGAGCCACCATGGCTGGTGCACCTGGCCTATTTCTCCCCTCCTTAAAACTTCCCCCCTGCCTTTTTTTTTTTTTCTTCTTTTTTTGAGACAATCTGGCTCCATCACCCAGGCTGCACTGCAATAGTATGATCTGGGCTCACTGCAACCTCCACCTCCCAGGCTCAAGCCATCCCTCCACCTCAGCTGTCCAAGTAGCTAAGATTACAGGCGCTTGCCACCATGCCCAGCCTTTAAAACCTTTTAATACAATTCCACATCTGAGTGTAAGACCAGAGAAAGTGGAAAGCAGTGATTGGAATAGATTTGTACACCCATGTTCCTAGCAGCATTATTCAACAATAACCAAAAATCCAGAAACAACACAAATGCCTACCAGCAGCTAAATGGATAAAGTGTGATCTATCCGTACAGTGGAATATCATTCAGCCTTAAAAAGGAGGAAATTATGGCCAGGCACAACGGCTCATACCTGTAATCCTAGCACATGTTGGGCGCAGTGGCTCACACCTGTGATCCTAGCATTTCAGGAGGCTGAGGTGGGTGGATTGCCTGAGCTCAGGAGTTTGAGAGCAGCCTGGGCAATGTGGTGAAACCTTGTCTCTACTAAAATACAAAAAATTAGCTGGGCATGGTGGCATGTGCCTGTAGTCCCAGCTACTCGGGAGGCTGAGATGGGAGAATTGCTTGAACCTGGGAGGTAGAGGTTGCAGTGAGCCAAGATCGCGCCGCTATACTCCAGCCTGGGCAACAGAATGAGACTCTGTCTCAAAAAAAAAAAAGGAAATTCTGAAACATGCTACACATGGATGAACCTGAAGACATTATGCTATGTGAAATGAGCCAGTCACAACAGAAGAAACCATGTATGATTCCATTTATATGAGGTACCTAAAATAGTCAAACTCACAGAGTCAAAACGGAGAAAGGTGGTTTCCAGGGGCTGGGGAGAGGAGTGAATAGAGAGTTTGTGTTGAATGGGTACAGAGTTTCAGTTGAGGAAGATGAAATAGTTCTGGAGCCGGTGGTGACGGTTGCATAACGATATATATGTACTTAATGCCACTGAACTGTACACTTAAAATTGTTAAAATGGTACATTCTCACGTCTGTAATCCCAGCACTTTGGGTGGCCAAGGTGGGCAGATTACGAGGTCAAGAGATTGAGACCATCCCGGCCAACATGGTGAAACCCTGTCGCTACTAAAAATACAAAAATTAGCTGGGCGTTGTGGTGTGCACCTATAATCCCAGCTACTTGGGAGGCTGAGGCAGGAGAGTCGCTTGAACCCAGGAGGTGGGGGTTGCAAGTGAGCTGAGATCGCACCACTGCACTCCAGCCTCTCGACAGAGCAAGACTTCGTCTCAAAAAGAAAAAATGCCATTAGAATATGGATAGCAAAAAAAGAAAAAAAAAAGGTACATTCTGTGTTACGTATCTTACCACAAGAAGACAGAAATCTTCATTGACTTCCTATGCTCCGTGCAGCAGTGTAATGGATGGTCGCTGGTGTCTGGCTTCCCAGCAGCGTCTCAGCCTCCAGGCATGGGCTGTCCGCAGGACCCCAGCCCTCTGTGGGAGTGAATATCAGATGCTTGCTCTCCCTGATCCTGGCAACCAGGACCTAAGCTGATCAGATTGTCCACCTGGTATGAAGAGGAATGAAGGCACCACCTGTCCAGCAGTGTCTGGTGTGAGGAATGCCAGTCTGCTTGTCTGCAGGCCCTCCCTGTGTCCTGATGCTGGCAGTCGCACCCCACAGTGCCTGCCCTTCAAAGTCTCTTCTTCCCACCAGTTCTGTGACTCCGTAGCATCCTGCCAATAAACTCCTTTTCACTCAAATCAGCCAACATTGTTTCTTGTTTGCACCCCAGAACCTTGGCTGCTCTAGGGGGCCCCTGACGCCTTAGCGGGGCTCATGAAAACTCCAAGCCGAGGTGATGTCCATGCTTCAGCCCACAGACCCACCGAAGGCCACTAGCTGCTTGGGGGTCCCTGCCTCTGAACCTTCACTTAGACTGCTCTCTGCCTCTTGTGTCTTTTTTTTTTTTTTTTTTGAGACGGAGTTTCACTCTTGTTACCCAGGCTGGAGTGCAATGGCGCGATCTCGGCTCACCGCAACCTCTGCCTCCTGGGCTCAGGCAATTCTCCTGCCTCAGCATCCTGAGTAGCTGGGATTACAGGCATGTGCCACCATGCCCAGCTAATTTTTTGTATTTTTAGTAGAGATGGGGTTTCACCATGTTGACCAGGTTGGTCTCGATCTCTCGACCTCGTGATCCACCCGCCTCGGCCTCCCAAAGTGCTGGGATTACAGGCTTGAGCCACCGCGCCTGGCCTGCCTCTTGTGTCTTTCCCCACTCTGGGGTCACCTGGGGAGCCCCGCGTTGTTAAGTCTGGCTCCCATGTCACCCATGCTGAGCCTTTCCTCCCCACCTGCCCCACCACAGTGGAAGCAGAGCACAGGTTCTGGAATCCAACTGGGTTCGAAGCCTAGCTCTGCCAGTTTCTAGCTGTATGACCCCAGGCAAGTGATAATAATTAGCCTCTGCTGTGTTTGTTTCCTTATCTGTAAAATGGGGACAATAATAATGCCTATGCCATAGTGTTTAAAAATGAACGAGATAGCTGGGCAAGGTGGCACGTGCCTGTAGTCCCAGCTACTCGGGAGGCTAAGGTGGAAGGATCATTCCTGGGAGTTCTGGTCTGTAGTGTGCTATGCCGATCAGGTGTCTGCATTAAGTTTGGCATCAATATGGTGACCTCCTGGGACCACCAGGTTGCCTAAGGAGGGGTGAACTGGCTCAGGTCGGAAACAGAGCAGGTCAAAACTCCCATGCTGATCGGAAACCCCATCTCTACTAAAAATACAAAAATTAGCCAGGCATGGTGGCAGATGCCTGTAATACCAGCTACTTGGGAGGCTGAGGCAGGAGAATTGGTTGAACCTGGGGCAGGGGCAGGGGCGGGTGGAGGTAGCAGTGAGCCAAGATCATGACGCTACACTCCAGTCTGGGTGAAAGAGCAAAACTGTCTCAAAAAAAAA